CCCCGTTGCAGATTCTTCAGTGGGTTTTTGGTTCTAGGTTTTAAAGAGGATATACTCCAGCTTCCATCACACACTGGATGGAAAGAAGAAGGCAAATTTGAAAGTAGGAGGCAAGCCCAGGAAGACTGAAAGGCTGAACTCCACCCTCTGCTCCCTTCTGGCCAGCACCAAGGAGCAACTCCTGACAAGATTAGTGGCGATGATGCATCCTCTCTGTGCTGCTGCTCAAGCGGGGCGTAACGAGTCACAAACCTTGTTAAGCAACTCAGTGTCACAGCTTCTGATGAGCAAACACCCCAACCCCAGATCTTTGGGCATGAACAGTTCAATGGTGGAATGAAAACAATGATTAAAATGCACTTTTCTGGATGTGAGCAAACTGAAGTCTTCGTAAACTCACTGGAAGGGGGCTCTTGGTTGCAGAGGAGCTCTGAAGGAAAACCCTGTGAACCTCCATCTAGAAATGCAAAAGGCTTTTACAGCAAGCTATCCAGGAAAACCTCTCATGGGAAGCAACACAGAGGCTCCCAGAGGTGGTTTGCGTTTTCTGTTTGTTGATTCTGAAGCATTCCCAAAAGTGCCCCAGCACATTTTTTTTAGAAAACCACAAACAAACAACGACCCACATCAAGAATTACCTTACGTTTTCCCTCATGATGGTTACCATTCAGTTACCATGACTCTGAATTACAATGACCAGTGTATTAATTTTTGCTTCCACTTCAAACACGCAAAAGGCTATTATGTCCAAATTACACATTTATTCAGCGAGACAACTTCTCCGTTGCACAACAAGGACCACAGAGGAAAAGGCGCTTCTACCCTCAGAACAGAACTGTGTGCACAAGCAGGGTCTGCTTGCAAATCTCCAGCCCTTCTTTGTAGGGTTATGTCCTCTTTATTGTAAATCAAGAAGTCCTAAGCCCAACTCTGGCAATTTTTCATCACGTAAATCAAAACCCTGTTACATGAGATGTTCTCAAACACAGAAAAAAAACCCTAATATATAGAAAAATATCAATCTGAACTATATTGCTATTTTTTCTGCACACGCAACTCACTTTTCCTCCTGGCTTCTATAGGCAATTTGTAATTTATGTTAACCAAAAGTCATGAAATTCGGTGACAAACAGCAATTCAGAATGTATTTACTTCTTAAAAGCCTATCTGACAAAAATGTGAGTGATAATTTGTTATAAGCAATGGAAAGTAAAGTGAAAAGGTGTCCATAAAAAAATACACTTTTACTAAATAATACCTCTAAATACAGAAGGAAAGAAACACCAAAAATAATGGCACTCTTTAATACTGTTCTTTGGTAAGTCAAATCACAGTCAACATGTAAAATACGAGCTGGGCGGGAACTCCTGTGGCATGTAACACAGCTTACTGTAGCACATGAATGTAACCTGTCAAGAAAACGCGACTGGTTAATGGCAGGCCAGACGTTGCAAGAACAGCCCTTTTCTGGAGCCTACAGAGAGTTTGGGGTTGGTGGGATGAGAGGAGCACCCTGCCCAGACGTACTGTAAGCATCTCTTCCCCGGCGTCTCCATAATAATAATAATAATAATAATAATAATATTAAAAGGCTCCAATGCGTCTTCATTTCTGTATTTTGTTCAGACCATCTTGGAAATGCGGGTTTTTATAGACACAGCTCTGCCACTGAGCAGCTGTCAGAAAGTGACTTGATTTCACCTAAAAATGGGGACTAGATCAGGGTAGTATTGCTGCCAGGTGCTGCAGCACCAATACTTTCTCATAGGGATGTTGCTTAGAGATAGAAATCAGCCAATTCTTAAGACTTCCACAGAATAACCAGAAAGAAGTTTGCTTTAACATTTTTGCTATGCTTTTGCCAAAAGCTTCAGTGTCCGCAAAGCAAGCCGCACAATGTGAAGTTCGAAGTTCCTGCTTTGCATTCACAGACAAGTGGGTAAGCAAGCTACGTGGTTGGAAATGCGCTATCCTCCTCTTAAACTAGAATTTACATGGCACGTTTTTAGTAACTTAAAGATCTCTTACCTTGGGCATCCAGTCAATAGCTAAGAGATGTTTTTATGTCGTTCACCATACTTTTAATTTCCAGCTGAAAGTCTCTTCTAGGGCCACCTTTACTCTTCCTCCACACAGGGCAATATGCACGATTAGATGGGTTGTCTTTTCCAGCTCCTCCCCCCAGATCTAGCAGGGAGAAACTGCCTCCTTCCTCAAGGGGAAACTCTTAATCTGCTTAAGTCTAAATAAAACCTAACATTACACAGTAAAGACAAAAATAGCAAATAGTGCTTCTCATACGTAGCAAACTATTTTCAATGGCTCTGAAATATTCACAGGGTTTTAGAAAATACCATTCGCAATGGCATAAAGTTCAACAGATGGAGCTGGTTTTTTACAGCAGGACTCGCATCACAGACAGCGTTTTGTAACCTGGCATAAGCCAACTCGTCAGACCTGCTAGCTGTCCTGGGTGTAAACAGACAGCTTCCTGTCTTTTCTCTGCACACCACTAACAGTTTACTGACTACGACAACGATTTCCTTCTCTTCGGCATTGCTCAGTTTCTACAATCAGTAAAATAAGAGATTCCTCTTTCCCAAATTCCTCCTTCCGGTTACAAAAGGCAGCTGGTGAACTCTGGTTAGCTTTTAAAAGGAGGATACTGCATTTCCAAAAGGGACAAACACCGCTGATACATAACAAACACAAATAAACTTACCTCCTGTAAAGTCACAGACCAAATACTGCTTTCAACCATTGGTGTAAAGACAGTGAAAACAGGATATAAAATAATTTTTAATACCAACAAAAACAGCCAAAAAAAAAAAAAAACAAACCCCTTTGCAGCTTCTTCAGTGGGTTTTTGGTTCTAGGTTTTAAAGAGGATATACTCCAGCTTCCATCACACACTGGATGGAAAGAAGAAGGCAAATTTGAAAGTAGGAGGCAAGCCCAGGAAGACTGAAAGGCTGAACTCCACCCTCTGCTCCCTTCTGGCCAGCACCAAGGAGCAACTCCTGACAAGATTAGTGGCGATGATGCATCCTCTCTGTGCTGCTGCTCAAGCGGGGCGTAACGAGTCACAAACCTTGTTAAGCAACTCAGTGTCACAGCTTCTGATGAGCAAACACCCCAAGCCCAGATCTTTGGGCATGAACAGTTCAATGGTGGAATGAAAACAATGATTAAAATGCACTTTTCTGGATGTGAGCAAACTGAAGTCTTCGTAAACTCACTGGAAGGGGGCTCTTGGTTGCAGAGGAGCTCTGAAGGAAAACCCTGTGAACCTCCATCTAGAAATGCAAAAGGCTTTTACAGCAAGCTATCCAGGAAAACCTCTCATGGGAAGCAACACAGAGGCTCCCAGAGGTGGTTTGCGTTTTCTGTTTGTTGATTCTGAAGCATTCCCAAAAGTGCCCCAGCACATTTTTTTTAGAAAACCACAAACAAACAACGACCCACATCAAGAATTACCTTACGTTTTCCCTCATGATGGTTACCATTCAGTTACCATGACTCTGAATTACAATGACCAGTGTATTAATTTTTGCTTCCACTTCAAACACGCAAAAGGCTATTATGTCCAAATTACACATTTATTCAGCGAGACAACTTCTCCGTTGCACAACAAGGACCACAGAGGAAAAGGCGCTTCTACCCTCAGAACAGAACTGTGTGCACAAGCAGGGTCTGCTTGCAAATCTCCAGCCCTTCTTTGTAGGGTTATGTCCTCTTTATTGTAAATCAAGAAGTCCCAAGCCCAACTCTGGCAATTTTTCATCACGTAAATCAAAACCCTGTTACATGAGATGTTCTCAAACACAGAAAAAAAACCCTAATATATAGAAAAATATCAATCTGAACTATATTGCTATTTTTTCTGCACACGCAACTCACTTTTCCTCCTGGCTTCTATAGGCAATTTGTAATTTATGTTAACCAAAAGTCATGAAATTCGGTGACAAACAGCAATTCAGAATGTATTTACTTCTTAAAAGCCTATCTGACAAAAATGTGAGTGATAATTTGTTATAAGCAATGGAAAGTAAAGTGAAAAGGTGTCCATAAAAAAATACACTTTTACTAAATAATACCTCTAAATACAGAAGGAAAGAAACACCAAAAATAATGGCACTCTTTAATACTGTTCTTTGGTAAGTCAAATCACAGTCAACATGTAAAATACGAGCTGGGCGGGAACTCCTGTGGCATGTAACACAGCTTACTGTAGCACATGAATGTAACCTGTCAAGAAAACGCGACTGGTTAATGGCAGGCCGGATGTTGCAAGAACAGCCCTTTTCTGGAGCCTACGGAGAGTTTGGGGTTGGTGGGATCAGAGGAGCACCCTGCCCAGACATACTGTAAGCATCTCTTCCCCGGCGTCTCTGAGGAGGCTGCTCAGCCCCACCGTTCCCATGCTCGGGAACACTGCCTGGACCCGAGCGCTGGGGAGGAGAGGAAGAAGCATGCCACGCTCTCGCACTGCTCTGGTTCAGTCCTGGTCTCCCCCTGGGGCCTGGCTGAACGTCAGGCCCACCCGCGAGAGCTGTGCTGGCTCCCACAAGTTCCCTCCCCACCTCACAGCACAGCAGGGATGGGCCAGGAGGAGGAGAGCACCCTGCAGCAGGGGCCCCACTGCCAGGGCAGCGGCTGCTCCCACCCCAGCGCAGCGCACAGCCCATCTCCTGCTGTTCCCACTGGGGGCCAGGTCACAGGTCTTGCTCAAGACATCCTTCATCACTGCAACTCGGAAGTGCCACTGTGTCTGTGGTCCTGATGAACCTCTATTGGCAATAAAAACCGTAACATGCTGCAAACAACAGAAACTCCAACAACTATAACTAAAAGCTACCAACAGACTGAAAGCTTGTTTCCTTCTTGACCTACAAGAGGAATATTCTGCAGGGATCTCCACTCTAGCGATCCCGTCCAAGCAACATCCCCTTCCCGGGCAGTAAACCAAAACCTCATTTTTTGCTCTGGGAAGAGAAACTGTAAAAACTACAACAGTGTAGGCCTTTAGGGCATGGCCCACATGGAGCGCGCAAAAGGCCAGAGGAAGCTGACAGCAACGCCGCACTCAGAGGCAATACTGGCTTTGCAACAGCGTAGACTCAGTCCTTTCCCAAACCAAGCCCGACTGGGCAAAGTCTAGCACTGATGCTGCCAAAATGAAATGCATTTCTAAACACACGGGCTGCAGAACGATCATTTAAGGGACAAGCAAGGCTGGCTCTCCACTTTCTGCCTGCGAGGGAGCCACACAGTTTGCGTTTCTTGCTTCCCTTTGGAAACGCTCTTGAAATGTCGATTCCTACCAACCTCAGCTTGACGCAACACGCAAGACAAGGAACAGACAGCACTTACAAGCATTTCTCCATGACACCCATCAGCTGAAGAATGCGTCCGAACTTTGAACTTAATGTGCAACTAACTGGTTACAGGGACTCTCTCTCTAATCACAGCGTTGCTAAGAAGATCAGACCCAATCTGGCTTAATAAAAAGATCACACAGTGAGTTGCAGAAGTGCAAGCCAAAACCCCAGGCTGCGATCTTGTCTGTGACAGTGACTCACATAAACTGTGGCCAGAGTCACTTTCTATATACTCACTTGCAGCTTGGGGATAATGTTCTTCACCACCCATCACTCAAGATTAACTAGTTAATATGCTTCCACAGAGCTTTAAAGAAGTCTTGTTTGTTTTCTAGGTATTATTTTAATTCCACAGTACTATAAGCGAACCACTGGAAAAACACTTAGTCAGCAGCAAGTTGTGTTTTTTTCTAAATAGGTCATACTCACTATTGGCTCTTGGCTGCTACGGCAGTCCCAGTTCTCACAAACAAGAAAATCAACACCCTTTGACATCAAAAGAACTACACTCAAAACATATTTTTTCACAGGTAAATACTTAAAAAAACCCAAAAGTCAGTTTTACTTTGTCTGTACCTGTAACTCTATCTCATCACATTCATAAATTATGGCATAGTCTTTCACTACAGGTTTTCACACCGTGGTTTTCTGACCATGGTGTGCTTCCCTTACGTTCACAGACCACGTAAACCTGTTGCACCCTGTATGATTATTCACTACTCCACACTCCTGGTAGACTCTGTACCAACTTCAACATCACATAACATATTAAGGCACAATGAAGAACAGCAGGAAAACAGTACAGGTAAATATATATATATATATGTACGCAATGCCAGTCCCCAGCTCACTTGGGCAATGGGCAGTAAAGTGCTTCGTCTCTGGCAGCTTCACCTAAAGAAAACTGAATTTTTCAGAACAGCGTAAGCAATAAATGGATCCTGAACACTAAGTGAAGTATATGCCTAGAGGCAGAGCCTCCATCACACAAAAATCTATGGCAACAGAATGTAGCAGTGACAATAAAAGCAAATACATTGGAAAGATAAGCAATGCTCATCCAAAATTAAAGAACTATTTTTTTTGGTGAACTATCAAGCTATCGTATTAATAACTGAACCTTTATTTCTCTGCTGCTTTAAAGCAGGGTATTTATCACTAGCAATTCTATTGCAGTAGTACCTTGGGAGCCTAGGAGAGCTCTGGGTCCCACCATACTAGGCATTATATTAACAAAAAATTACTAACGCTTGATATAAACAGAGATGAATAACAAGGATCATATCAGTCAAGGAAGAGTTCATCTTCCAAAAGTCTCTGTGGATGCCACTGCACACAGCTCGTGCTAGAACAATGTGTACTTTCTCCTTTTTGTGTCTGTAGCTGAGAATCACCCTTTGTTTCTGCGTCTCATGAAGATCTCCCGTAAAAGTGCAACAGCAGGAGAGTTACCTACAAACATATAAACTGAAAGAAGAAAAATATTATATGTGGCTACTTGCAGATGTCTTGAGAGTTACAAATTGTGATTGAAATATTCCTGGAAAAAACACTAAGTCCAAGCGTTCAAAGTGCTTGCTCAAGAAAGGGGATGAGTTTCACCTGCCGCTTAACTTCCCTAAGATCTGCATTGGCATCTCCCAGAGAGGTGAACGCCATACACGCACCTCTGCTTAACCACTGGAACCAGGTCACTCCCCACGGGTTTTAGCCAATGAAACAGGCTCCCATATAGCATCTCCCGTACCTTGTATCTGTCCATAGGATCTTCCTGCTGCAGCTGACTCTCGCGCATTGTTTGGTACTCTCTCTCATATTTCTTCAGCTTTTTTGTTGGCACCTGTGGAACACATTTGGAAAACATGCATTTAAAGATTAGAGGAACACCGGAAAGGCTGTCTGAAAGCTCTCCTTGCAAACAGGAAGCCAAGGAAGTGCTGGAAAGCCGCTGCTGATTAAAGTCGCTCCCCACTGCCCCCCCTTCCCTACTCAGCAAGCCATGTCAAACACTTACCAATACAGTTCACATCAACAGAAATCTTTCTGTGCCTACTGTTGTTAATTATTCAAATATTTAAAGGAAAACAAGATTGAAGGAGAGACATTTTAGTAAGAGTAGCAAGAAGAAAAAAAGTGTGAACGACAGGAGTGAGCGAACAGGGAAGAAGAAAATACACTTTCATAGGTATGATTCAACAAAACAACGCCATGGCAAGAAAACCGTTAAAAGTGAGATGAGAAGAAAGGAGCGTGCATGCAAAAGGACTGGACAATTCCCGGGGAGAGATCAAAGTAATGCTTTTTATTGCTGAAAGGGTGTTAACATCTAAATTATAGCTTGTGACCAATGCCCTCATGAAGTCTGGCATCAGACTACTCCTAGGCAAAGGCGGAGATGCTGCAGTGCCCGTTTCCAGCCGCAGCAGGGAAACAGTGAGGCGACTACACAGAAATCACAAGCAAATGCAGTAAACAACCACACAGAAAGGTCAAGTCCCAGACAGCTTGGTTTCTGGGAAACCAGAGCTTCAACTTAAAACAAGGTACACAAAGAACACCTGTGGTTTTTTAAACAAAGCATGGAGATCCTTTGCTTTACCTTAACCTTTTGATTGGGTGCACTTGTGCTATATGAGTGATCCCATCTCTCTCTGGAGGTCTTTAGTAGCATTACTCTGTCCCCACTGTACAACAAGAAGCAGCCAGCCCTGCTAAGTGTCAGGTCATCTGCCAGCAGCTGGAGAGGTTCCTAATGCCATGTACCATCATGACTCGTAAACATACGCTTTTCCTGGATCTGTTATGTATATATCTGTTCCTCTTGCCTATATCGATCGTGCCTAGCTGACTCCTGGTGTGAGGACGTGTCACTGTCACCTTGCCTTAGGGCAAAAAATTACTGCCAGTGAGCAGAGATAGGTGTTTACATGTAGTTTTGGTGTTGTTTTCCCTTTACTGCTTTCCAGCCCAATACCTCCTTCCCCTGCAGTACAGGAAGGGACCAAGCAAGTGCTCAGTGTGGCTGCAGAGGTCTCTCGGAGGTAGAAAATGTGAAACCCATGACCTGCAAAGCACAGTGCACAGGGAGCACTAATAAAGTAGCACCAATGCCTGTAATTACCAATGAAATCTTAAACCAATCTCCCTAAAGAAAGCAAAGAGAAAAGGATAAACATTAAAAATGAAGCACTTTGGACAACCATACAAGAGAATTTTGCTTCAATGACACTTAATAGCATGAAACACAACAAAATAAAAATTATTAAAGCAGATGTGTTTTTACACGTTTCAACTGAGCAACACTGGAGATGCAAACCCAGCCTGTTTTGTCTTAGCTGCAACTTAAAGCTGCTGAGGCTACTTGATATTCAAGAATAAGAAATCATTTCAAAATAGTATTCCAAATGAAGTGAACCAATCACACATCCAAAGCCTGATCTATTCTCTCTTTTGACAATTCTTACTGTCATCTTATGCAGAGAAGCAGGTCAAGGCTCCCAGGCTGGGGTGTTACAAGGACACCCTCCAAACCTAGTTCTCCTGTGCTGTTGTGGAGTTTTGTGCTCCAGTACGCTACCAGCACAAAATGAAGATAAATATGAGGGAGACATTGTGGCGCAGCATGGCAAAAAGGTGCACCATGGGTGTAACTGAGAAGGCGATCTGTTCAACCAAAGGTTGTCCTGATTTTTGATGCTTTTCACCAAGACTGGATAAAGCTGGTGAAGTATGCATAAGAAGTCAGTCTCACTGCACAGAGAGGGAGACAAACCTCCCATCCACGCAGCCACATGAATACCTCCCCCACCACCACGTCCCCCGTGCACAGGGGAGCTCCCTACCTTTACGTGAGAGGTGCCGTATGCAGCCCAGCCTGGCACCGGGTGTCAGGGGCTGCCTCCACTGACCACCACTGTGACCCTCCAACAGCTTCACCTTTACAGCTGCCCAGAGCAGCATCCCCCCTTTCGCTTTAGCCATGAGGATTTGCTTAAATGCCTTGTGAATGAAAATCGTAGTTCTCTCTATAATGCAGAAGCAGCAGGCAAAATACAGCATAAAGGTAATGATCTGAGTAAGTAACTCTCACGAAGAGAGCAAATGGGATACAAAGCACCTCTATCACCCAAATGCCTATGCTGGGAACAGTGCCACAGCTGTCCCTCACCAGGCTGAGCCGGTGCATGAAGAGATGACTGCTGCTTCTCGGTAACACCACCTCACACACAGCAGCCAGCAGCATGCAGCTCTTCTTGCTCATTTTTTAAATGTTAATTTTTTTAAGCTGGCTGAGAGCAGCCTTATTTCTTTGGTTCCCAGTTGTATTGAGATAAGGCAGAATTTACCTTGCACAGAGTTTATTTGGCACTTAATCATCTGCCTTGACAGCACCAGAAACTCATCTGAACATGTTACATCAAAAACTGTATGATGAGCAGGGAAGAACAAGAGCCAGCTTCGTTTAACTCTGCTCTCCCCTGTCTTCAGAGTCTCTATTTCCACTCACTGACAATTCACAACCATTTCTCAATGCATGGTAACTCTTCCCACCAACCGTTCTTACCTATGTGTTCTCCTTTACGTTATTAAGTTCTAGTTCACAGCTGTGAGTAGGACCACATGGGAGTCCTGTGTGGCTTTACGAGGGATAAGGTACCTTTTTCACCACTACAGCAGCTATCCATGGCTGCAGCCTGGGATGAAGTCCCATGTCCATGTGCCTGGCACCCTCTCCAGCAAGGAAACAGCATGGCAACACTTGCTTAGCAATGTTAATAGTACATAATACATGAAACAGGGATCAAATCCTGAAAGGCAGAATAAGCATCACATTGTGACACAGAAAATGGCTTCCCTGCTTATTGAAAGAACATCCTGACTTACGCATGTAAGTATCCATTTCTTAATTGGAAAGTAGTACTTAAATACAGCAGAAGTCTATTTTAAGGGTTTGGGGGTGGGTGGGAGTGTGGGGGAAATTCCTATTAGAAAACCAGTCCATACTAATCCACTTATCCCATAAAATACAAACTTGAGCAGGTATGCTTAATAACTTTGGCAGGGATGGTGCTTCACTGTTATTGTCTATTCGGCCACATTACTCAAAGGAGTTTGATAATTTATTACAGCACTTTCTTCTTCTGGGCATACACTAATACATGAAAAAAAAAATTTAAAAGTCCATTTCCATATTCCCCAATTTAATTCCCTGAAACAGTTTGTGAATTCAACAAGGGACTTCTCTGTAAGCCCTTTCATAAGTAAGTACAGAGTGCTAGCTATGCTTCAATCTTCATGAACTGCTCCTGAACAAAGTGCGCTCATAAATTTTCTGTAAAAGCTTCTGCAATATTGATTTCTTCTTTCTTTAGCACCATGGGGTATATTGGCTAGAACTGATGGTTATCAAATTTAGGAGACTATTGTGGTTTATAAACATCGCTCATCTGTTTATCTCAGTATCTTATCTCCTTGACTCATTTTATTTTATTGTGTTCAAGCATAAAATCATGTCACAACTAGTCATACGTACAGAGAAAGCCAGGCAGAGCATCTTAATAAAACATCCACACAGAAGAACTGAACAAGCAAAACCTTCTGAAAAAAACCCAGCAGACTACTGCATTGAACGCTCAAAGGACTCGCTGCAATGAGGTGATACGTGGCAGGCGAGAAACAAAAATACTTTGGTTTTAGCTGCCCCCCTGTTCAGACAGGGCTGGAAAGATCTGCTTCACCTTCTCTGGCAATCCTGTGCAACAGCAGCATGCCAAGCATTGGCCTCTGCTCAGCTCCAGGAGACCTTTCCCTCATTCTGCCATTTCTTCAGCTGTTTACAGAGAATTCAGTCTGACCTTGCTGGATTAATAAATCACAGATCTATGATTCCTTCCTCCAAAATGTTTTATTGCTCTAATGAAGCACAAGCACTCAGAGGAGGTAGTTATCATTATGTTCATTTGACAGCCAAGGAAATGGAAGCAGAGATGTAGTGATTTCCTGAACATATTGAAGACAGCCAGAGGCTGATCCAGACAGAAAAATCCTATTACCTGATTTCTAATTTCCAGCACCGCCACAATGCCAGACTGAGCGGAGTATCTGTTTCCCAGAGTCCTGCTTCTTTTCTCTATCTAGCACTGCATAAAGGCTCCAAAAATATATTGTCCCGTCACACTAACAATGTCGACAATATTCTGTGATCTCTGTACCCTTAATATTTTTCCTCTCTAGTTCTCACCTCAGTGTGGAAGGAGAAGAAAAAAAAAATAAAAAAGCCAATTAACAAAACGTGAAATGCTTTCCTTTCTCATTCTTTGAAGCAGGTGACTCAATTTTCTGTTTCACTGGTGATGGAATTACTTGGTATTTCAAGGTTGAGGTGGGGGACTTGCATCCTTCCAAAGACAGAGTTACACTGTGTGCTGATGGGAGACCCAGAGCTTGCTTTGGGTGAGCACCGATAACAACCACAGACACTGGCTGCAGCCCAGCTTCCCTTTTATCTGTCTATCACATACAACTCGGGCTGAGATCCCCATGATAAGCCTAGACTCTTCCTGCTGCTGCAAAGCAGGACCATTTCCAAGCACAGGTGATGCTTGGGAGCCCGGCTCAGAGGTGATGGGACCAGCCTGAGCTCACTCAGACCTGGCTCAGCCCTCGCATGCAGCCACGGCTACTGGCTGCGAGTGGCTCTCACAAACCGCTGCTGCGTGTGCCCCTCTTGAGAAGATCTGAGTTACACTTGTGCATACATAATTTTCTTCATATGACGATTTAAAACAATATTAAAAGCAAGTTAATTTCAAAATGACACTTGGTTCTCCAAAGCGTGTC